CGCAAAGTTGTTCATTAACACCAACTTTGCCGTTGACAGCCTTATCGTTGATGTGTAGGCCAAGTAACATGTATACATCCTGTAAAGTTACGGTACATTCATCGAAAAGTAGGTGAAATGTGTGTGTTTCTAGTCTTCAGCGTTCTAACAACGCTAGAATAAATTTGGGATCCAGTGAGTACGATTTGATTTTGATCAAATCACCGAACCCATATGCTTCTAGGTATCCTTCTATTAAAGGGTCATGTGGTATGTAGTTATGCACACGACATCGAAACCTTGATAAATCCTGCGAAAGAATATAAATGCCATTAGGTTTAAAGGAAAATTAAACTTCGTAAATATCGACAACAAAAAGAAAAAAACTTACAAACTTTGGGATGTTCTCAATTGTGCCTCTGTTATTATTGCCTATTGTGAGTAGAGACATTGTAGGTTAAGTTTGCTAAGTGAAGTTTACTGAGTGAAGTTTGCAAAGTGACAAGAAGATTTTGTATAACATATGAAGAGTAGAGTTGGTAATGGGATGAGAAGAGTTTGTTCCTTGATGAACATATATTTATAATGGTCAAAAGTGATGAGAGGAGTCACATGAAAATGCATGCTGAAGTTTGCAAGTTTCTAAGTGCAGGAGTCACATGAAAATGAATGTTGTGGTGTTGTCATTCATGCAGAGTGTTGGCCTGCTTCGGTAATAACGTAGGCATGTGAATACTACGTATATCAATGCATGTTAAAACATGATGACAATGGTTTAGGGAAGCGTGCAAGTGTGTTCTTGTCATGCATGTGAAGTAAAAAACATTAGTGTAGTGTTGTCATGCATGCAGAGTGTTGTGGAAATATATGTTCTACTAGAGTATAAGGTTGTCAAGCATGCATGCTGAATTTTTATGACATGGGTGAAGGGAAGCGTGCAAGTGTAGTCTTGTCTCATAAGATTCTTGATCATTGGAATGCAGAGAATCTTATAGTCATTGATTGATAGAGTGTAGTCTTAAAGGTTTTTACTTTTTCCTTTATTACAGAGTAATGATCACAAGTATGCAGTGTATAGTGTAGTCTTGGAGATATTAAGATGTAGTCTAACAAGTATGCAGCATCCTACGGGACTAATATTGTAGCCATGTGTATACATTTATTAGTAATAATCTTGTAAGCATACATAGAAGCATAATGTAGACGGTAGGCATGCAGAGTGCAGACGGTAGGCATGCAGAGAATCGTGTAGAGTGTAGAGTGAAGCCATGAAGAATGTAGAGTGTAGTCATGCATAGAATCAGAGTGTAGACGGTAGGCATGCAGAGTGCAGACGGTAGGCATGCAGAATGCAGACAATAGGCATGCATAGAATCAAAGTATAGACGATAGGCATGCAGAGTGCAGATGGTAGGCATGCAGAGTGCAGAGGGTAGCCATGTAAAGAATCTTGTAGGCACGCATGGTTTAGTTTTGTCATGCAGAGAACCTTGTAGGCATGCATGGTTTAGTCTTGTCATGCAGCTTACCTTGTAGGCACGCGGGGTTTAGTCTTATCGTGCAGAGAGCCTTGTATGCACGCAGAGTGTAGTCTTGTAGGCACGCAGAGACATGTGATGAGTGCATATCTAATAATAAAAAATAACATTTTATTGCTATTAATATAGTAGAGATAGTTGCTTTATGATCATATCAATTAGTCAAACAATTCCTTCAAATACAAGTTTACTAACATTTTAGTTATGGCTCAAACACCACAATACATGATCAGTGCATATTTAAACGGTGAGGTTTTTGAATGTAACTTAGCCAGTTTCAATTTTCGAAATACTGATGTTACTAGATTTTTGATTGACAGAAGATCAAATTTTTTACACTTGAAGTCGAGATTAGAAATGAAAATACAATGTGGTCCAGTTAGCCAAATAATCTACAAGAATCCTGTGTTCTTTGGAAGGCACGACCAATGCAAAATTTTCCAATTAAAGATTCGAGACGATGAAGATGTGTGTAGCATGTTCCGCAGTCATGAGTATTCCAGTTCCTCAGATATTGTGCTATATGTTACGTTACAACAACAACTATCTCAACAACTTGATTCTTCTCAAGTTTTTTATGAATCTGATGAGAAACACGCTGAAGTCGATGCCATTAATGAAGAAGAAGAAGTAGCTTAAGTCATTGTTGACGACATGGTAAACAATGAGGAAGAGGGAGTTCCACCCAGTCATGTTTATTGCCCACCTCAACACATGAGAAGTCTCGACTTAGGTGATGATGAACCCTCAAAATATATTATTTACAACCCTAACTACGCAACAGAAGGACTATTAAAAGAGGGAGACAACTTTCATACAAAAGAAGATTGTGTACGAGCAATTAAACAATATCATATAGACGTATCATCAGATTATAGAGTCGATCGAACAAATCTGACTCTGTATAAGATCTATTACCGTAACGAGGTGTGTCCATTCCGATTAACAACGTCTTTCCGAAAGAGAAGTGATTCATGGAAGATAGGGTCAATGGGTCCAACCTACACTTGTATAATCACGAATCCAATGAAGAACCATCGTAAGTTCAACTCTCAATTGATTTGTGATCAGATTCTATCGGTCATTAGCAACAACCCTTATTTGAAGGTGAGTACCATAATTTCACATATGGTTCAAAGATACAATTACACTCCTTCGTACTGGAAAGCATGGATAGCTAGGACTAAAGTGGTTGAAAGAGTGTTTGGAAATTGGGAGGAGTCTTACAAAGAACTTCCAAAGTTCTTGGTGGCTCTTAAACAATATTCTCCAACGACTGTTGCCATATTGGAGACAATGTCGACGTATACACTAGACTGGACTTGCGTTAGTGGAAATGGCATTTTTCACATACTCTTCTGGGCGTTTGAACCATGTATCAAAGGCTTTACTTATTGTAAACCTATAATTCAGTATTACAATCTGGTCGCCTGTACAGTAATAGTTCAACAAAATTCATGAAAGACGAGGCTGCCAAAGCCAACACACATGTGGTCACAATATTTGACCGTAATAAAGGTTGGTTCAGTGTTGCCGAGTCAAGTGATCACAATGAAGGAAGGCCTAGGGAATGTTACCGAGTGAAACTGGATAGGAGTTGGTATGACTGTGTAAAGTTTCAAGCATTTTGTATGTCTTGCTCCCATGTTATAGCAGCATGTTCGAAGGCGCGTCAGGACCCAACCAATTATCTTTTTGCTGTTCACCAAGTGATAAGTCTATGCAATGTATACACATATAGCTTTCAAGTGGTGGCAATGGAGGACTATTGGCCTCCATACGAAGGCGAAATTGTCTGGCATAATGAATTGATGCAAAGAAAGAAAAAGGGTCGCCCTAATAGCACGCACATTCAAACAGATATGGATGCAGCAAACAAAATGGTCAGATTATGTAGTTCGTGTCGGCAACTAGGACACAATCGTATAAAATATCCCAATGTAGCATCAAGCACAAGATCATAGTTTCTAATGTAATCGTGTCCCTTTAAATCAACAGCAAATTTCATTTCATTTAAAGCATAATTAAGCGATTACAATTAACAAGCAACATAAATTAAACAAACATAACTTAATATCACAACAACATTTCGAAAATAACAACAAACCCACATAAAAACAAACAATGCATCAAGTTGTCTAGGATATCACAACCATAAAGATTATCTTCTTTGGTGTTAACATCATCACAAGGACACCAACATTATTTTTCACTTTTCTCCGATCACGAGTAACTCTGTTTCTCCATGACTCCTCAACTAACCTCTCAATTTTCATAATCTTTTCACCTGCAACAATATCTCCTTCTAGCCAGCGGTTCAGTTCCCTATGCAAATGTTTCAAAGTCTGCGTGTTTCACAGTAGTACCTTCATCGGAGACTTTGTTGCTGAAAAATAAACTAGGACATTTCTTTTCATTAGAGGAAATGTTGAAAACGACTCCTTCGATGATGATGATGACGACGATGAACGTTGATTTAGAAATGCATACATTCTAGACCGAATTCAAAATTATGAAGACTTGAATCTATTGATAAAAATTATTGTGAAAAATTATATGCGTGTGCAGTCTTATTTATAAAAAAATAAAATAGTACGGATCACATATGATATGCCTTAAATACCCTTACAAAATTTATGATTTTTTAGAATTATATTTTTTTTCAACAATTATCAAATATTAAAAATTAACAATGCAGGTATAAACAAATATCAAATATCAAAAATTAAAAATATAAAATATCAAGAATTATATTTATTATTTTTTAAAATTTATAATTTTTATAAGATTTTTTAAACAAATATAAAAAATTAAAAAAAAACAAAAAATGAAATAAAATTACACTAGATGCGTCGTCTCATACGGCGACTCATTGTAGAATTTTAGAGCATTCAATTGAACCCATGCGTCATAAATGACAAATCATGAGAGACTTGAGTAACAATTTCATATGGCGAATCCTTATTTAAATCCAACTATTTTTTATTTTTTTAAATTAATTATTTAGTTGAATATTATTTTGAATAAATGTGTTATATTAAAAAAAAATCGTATGTGTGTAGTTTTATTTTTAATTAGGCTTTTGACCAAACAAATGTTCCTCTTATCGAGAAATGTGCCCAAATGCATTTTAATTAGGCATGTGACCAAGTGAGTGTTCCTCTCATTTATGATAGCTTGTCATATTCCTATATACTTTGCCTAAATCTGACGTGTTATGTGCATCCCTAGGCATGAATTTCTCACTATTTTTAAACACCAAAATTATTTAAACCCCAAAAATATTTGTTATTCCTTTCATACTTTACTTTAATAAGATTGTTACATCAGAATAAAGAGAAATGGAACGTGCAGTACACAGCTTCCATTGCTTGCTATCCCAATTTTCAATCTTATAACTACTCCATTCATTCTTATTCTCATCTTCCATTCATTCAACCCCGCACCTTTCCAACACAAAACTCAATTACACATTTATATTGCATGTCGCAAATCTCAAGATCGCCGGCGATTACATCCCGGAGAAAAAAACCTCCGCATCCATCGCCATCGCCTCGTTGTAGCAAGACGAAGAGTAAGTCAAAATTGGTCAAAATCTTGAAACGCTGTTCATCGGCGCCTCTGCTGATTTCACGAGGAGATCGTGAAGATGAAGATGATGTTGTTGATCTCGTTTCTCAATATTCTTTCAGGAGCCGAGGAGGAACACTTTCCCGACTTCAAACTTTTTCAAATGCCTTTGTTTCTTCCCCTTCTCTTTTTCCTTCTTCTCCAAAGATTTACAGTAACGAGGTTAGTTAGTTAGTTAGTTACACTTAACTCTATCCAATTCGTGCATGCTTAGTACTCTATTATTGAAGTTAATCAAAATTAATATCGAGTATCTTAATTTTTTGCTTGCTTCACGTGTTCTGTCGTTTGAGGGAATAGAAAGTACAGATTGCGTGAAACGACGAACGAAGTTTGGTAATAACTTAACTGACTTAATTTCATGACGATGTGATGCATTTTCAAGCTAAAAATGTTGCCAAAATATGACATGAATAATTTGACAAATTAATGGTTTTTTATTAGATGATTTTAGAAAATTTCTTTACACTATATTCATTAAAATGTTTAATGAATAATTAATATATTATATATATTTGAAATTAATATATTTGTTATTTAATAATTTTGTAAATTTTTTTTTTTATAATAGTGTACTTTTTATTAGTTATACAAGAATATACACTTCTCAACAATGAACATTTCACCTAATCACCTTTATTTTTTAAAATTATGTTGATAGAATAAATTACACGGTTAGTAGACTACTTTTAATTTATTATTATTAATATGAATTAGATTCTATATAAAATTTAATTAATAGAAAATGTTGCGTTGAAATGTGTGTTACTAACAGTTTTCTTTTAAGATTAAACTTATCTACATTTTAATATATTCTTAATGTTTTCAACTACTATATAAATGTCAACTATAAAATATATGTAACTGAGTTGAAGGTGAGCTCTATCATATATGGATTATTTTTATAAATACTCTACAGTGGACGGGTAGTTGAAATTAATAAAAGAAGTATTTTTTAAATATTGGTATTTATAAGTTTGTGTAAATAAAATAAAATAAATTATTCATTAATTATTTTAGAAAACTAACGAAAATATGTTGAATTTTAATTTTTTTTTCAAAAATCCTTAAATATTGTCACAAGACTTGTTCTAATAAATGCGTTGAAATAAATCAATTCAAATAAATATATGTAAGATATTGTCCACATTATATTTTATGTTTCTTTGTGAGTCCACATTATATAAATACTATTTTTTCATTTAGCGCGTAGCTTTCATGGGCCGGTAGGCGGGTGAGCAAATTCGTAACTAACTTTGTTTTCAATTGGTCTCACAGTTTGAATACAAAATTGATCTTACAATTTTAATCAAACAAAGCAATAAATTAATTTCATTACATTATTTTTATCAACTTGCATACAAGGACCGATATTGAAAAACTATTATTATTAATATTTTTTAGATTTTGTGATGTGAATAAATTTTTAAATTTTTTTTTGTACCATCCAGATTACGTAACTAAGAAATTGAGATTTAAATATTAGGCAATGACGTAGAAGGCATGCCTTATAACTAATGACCAGATACTAAACTTGATAATGACTCAACAACAAATAGCAATAAATTTACAAATCACGTCATGGTATTGTATTCTTCAGGGTGATTTAATTCTCCTTTCGATTAATCAGATGAAGGGATACGACAAGGAAGCTAAGGTTGTGGTTAATGTCACGGTTGAAGGAAGTACAGGACCAGTAAGAACCATGGTTAAACTGGGATCTACCGTAGAACACACAATAAAGCATGTAGTGGATAAATATAGAGAAGAAGGAAGAAGCCCGAAGATTGATTCAAATGTGCCATCTTCATTTCAATTGCATCTTTCCTATTTCAGCCTTCAAGGTATAAAAATCTCAATAATTTTACTTATGTTATGTATTTGACTTATGTTTTCTAATTTCCTTCATAGGTTTGGACAAATCAGAAGTAATTGGGGATGTAAATAGTAGAAATTTTTATATGCGGAAGAGTAATGCTGAATCTACAAGCAATCAGGATTTAACAAAACATTGCTCTGCAAATACTTCAATGTTACTACCATCTTTTGTTGCTTTGAAAATTAACCAAATTATAAGAAGAGCTCACAGGTTTTGGAAGATTCTTGTGTGCTCGCCATGACAAGAGCAACAGTGCGTTGCAAAACTATGGGCTACTTCACCCGTAACATGGAAAAGCAACAAATTTTTATCTGTTGCTTTCAATTTATTTCCATTTCATATTCTACCTGTATATATTTTGTCAAAATGTAAAAACTAAAATGAAGACATGGTAATTACTTTTTCAAAAGTAATAAATTTGGTGGGATAAGTATATGTTGCAACAATGTTTAGAAGTTTTTGTGTAAGAACTCCATTTCTCACCAATATTCATATCTTATGAAAATAAGAAATCATTATAAATTTTTATATCGATTTATTAAGCATTTTGTCCTTATATATTTCATGTGTAGGGAGTTATAGACCATCATAGTTTTAGGCAATTTTTTATTGTATTCTATATGTTTCTAATTCATCATGTGAAATTTTACAAATGCTCTGTGTTTTTGGAAATATATCTTCGAACGCACTCTATTTTTTAATAAAGGTTGACATATTTCAGAGATATATCTTCGGAACAATTTTAAACTTTAAACATTCAGAACATGTAATCCATAACCCATTTATATTTGAATTTTTCTGAAAATACATTAACAAGAATATTCCGAAGAAACATCTCTGAAGCGTATCAAAATATTATTTTTTTATAATGAGTTGTGTATTTGTTTTTAGATGAAAAAAAGCAGACGTACAAATTAATAAAAGACTAATATTGCGTGTGCTGAAAATAATATAGCAATACAATAGTAAAATATCGTACAACATGAGACCCAAAATATAGTAGTAACGTCAAAATAAAGTACAAACTATAATACAACATCAAAATAATAACGTACAATTACTGAGTGTGCCTGACAACCTTTCCTATATCTCGTCTGCCTCCTCAGCCATCAACCACCCCCGCCCTCCGGCGATGTCTAAAATACAACATTGCCTTATGTGACTCCGCCACAATGGCATCCAGGATTCGCCGACAGCAGACCCCTCAGGATAAATACCCTCGTCAATACGCCGCACAATCTCCACTATGCGACAACACCAAGGCAAGACATCCTCATTATAATCTAGCTGAGCCTACTGCTCCTCTAGAATCTCCTGATGAGCTGATCTCGGCAGATCTCCTAGAGTAGTCTACACCATGTACGAATGTGAGATTTTGAAGAACCAACTGATGTATTCATCGACGTAACTCTAATCGTTCGACGCTATGGTAACCTGAGCCTCCTCCGATACTATGTGACTCATAATCAACAAACATCTCATTTATCTGTCTACAAGACAAGGCAGGAGGAGCAGAGACAACATGGTGTCTAGGAATGGTCTAGGTGTACCCGAATTGCCGCATGACGTACTCGGGAAAATGAGGAGCAGTGATACGCGATCTGCAGGCTAACCATCCAGAGTATAAAGTTATCTCGTCAAATGGTCGCGTCTCACAGTAGTCCACATAGTTGTTGAAGTGCATGTCCTCAACAACCAAACAGTCAAGGTAGACTCTAAAAGGCTCAACTGCCTGGTTCCCTCTCAGTGGGATAAAAACACAAGCACGGGGAATGTCCTCAGTGTACTCATCCAGACTCGCCCAGCCAGCGATGCGCAGGAAGTGCTGGAGGATCCAAGCCTGAAATGAAAATAAATAAATGAAGCATTCATGGATCAAGAATTATCGAAAATATGAACTGTATATGACAAACAAAATATTCAAGTATTAAGAATTATTACCATCAGTAGTGTCTCGCTGCCTGTGACCTGCTTCGTCTTTCACCGACATTCATCTCTCAACTTCAAATATAGATAGGTCAGGCAAGTCGCCCCTCAGTTGTACTCATGGATCAGAGTGAGATCCAAAAAGTACTGTAGATAGGCAACATCAGTATAAGTGACACTCGTGTCCACAAAAATGTAAGTGCCAACTAAATAAATAAAATTTGCCCTCAAAGCACGACCCTGTGTACCGCCACCCTACTCAACATCACCATCAGCCTATTGTGCAGCAACAATCTCATCGTCATATATCTCTTTCAAGAACTTAAACCTAGCATGAACACCTCTGGTCCTATCCACCTCCTCAATCGCCTTCCCTGGATCAGCCCCTAGATGTTCTACCTTCATCTCGACTGTCTCATTTTTGTCCATCCTACCATGATCGAGGAATCTTCCCCTGATTGAAAGATGTAACAAACACGAGTCATCGTTCAGTATGATAGACATCTTACCATGCGGGAGATAAAAAAAGACGTCTTAAAGTTCCATCTCTCCATGAATGCATTAAACATCCCGTGGTCAACCAAAGTGTAACTGATCATGCATAGGTCCTTCAACCCATATAAGGTAAGAACCGACTGAAACCACTTCTCATCTGGCTGAGGTAAGGCAGCAATCTTCCTCCCATGGTTAAGAAACTTCTGAAGATAACACACCTAAAATTATCCAAAAATAATCAATGTAAGTAGGAATTAATGTTACAAATAATAAACGTCAGTAATTTAAATGAACATAAAAAAATAAATCAAAAATAACTAATGCTACCTCTTCTTCCCAAATATGTCTGGCAATATGGTCTAGAAATAGAGAAAGTAGGGATATATCAGATGGACCTCCGCCAAATCCCTTTGACTTGGCATCCTCAGCAACCTCACCTTCCGAAGGTGACACTGGATCAGTAAGATCATCAGCGGGAGGCAGAACTAGATCAACATGAGGTGGCATTGATGAATCTTGACGCCTGCACGAGGATGAGGGAAGCGACACGTCAGCTGGTGATTCCTATCTCTTACAAGAAGAAGAAGAAGATGAAGTGGCTTGACATGAAGGTGGAGTGGTCTGAGATGAAGTGGTATGAGGTAAAGGACAAGCCTCAGGAGTAGAATGTGCCCCTGAAGTCGACGCCTCTGCCTTACCGAAAGAACCTGCTGCCTCCAGAACCTGCTGCCTCTGCTCCCGCCTGATGCATGTGTGTCGGGAAACCCGACCATGTCTCAGTCTGTCGACTCTGTCAGCCATAATACTTATAAGGTGAGTTACGGTGTATCCTTAGTGCAGGCAAACAACACAAACAAACAAGAAAATTAAAAAAAAAACTAGACTGCAGAATATTCCGGAGATACATCTCCAGAAATACCATATACCAATTACATTTTGAAACATTTCAGAGATGTATCTCTGGAAATTCCTAAAGTATATGAAACGTTGAACTATTTTGGAGATGTATCTCCGATAAGTTCTGCAACTCTAATGTCACAGCAATGGCGTAATGTGGCTTATGCATATTGAAAAATTATGGCCTTATCATCATTTTGAGATAACAAACAAGTCATATACTAAGTCTATACTATGTTACATGCGATTCCTATACATTTATATCCTAATAATTTATTTCTACACATTTACACGAAAACTCAAAATTTATCCGAAAACTAAAAAATTTACCTTAAATTTATGTTTTTTATGATGTTGAATGTTGTTATTGATGATGTTTGATATTCTTCTAAGCCTTGTTTGATGAGATTTGATGTTGTGAAGAAGTTGGAAATTTTATGTTGAGAGAAAAGTTTTAGAAGAGAGAAAAGTTTTAGAAGTGTGAGGGAGGTCAAGAGTCTGATGCATTTTAAGTTCTAAAATATTTTGAAGATATATCTCCAGAATATTCCAATGTTTAATGAACTTTGGGTGAGTCCGAAGTCATATCTTCAGAATATTCCAATGTTTAATGAACTTTGGGTGCATTCGGAGATGTATCTCTGGAATCAGGGGATGCATGTGGAAATTCACATGGTACATTAGAAACATATAGTGTGCAATATGAAATCTTCTAGTTTTGATATTAATTCGATCTGACATTTAAAACTCATAGGCCCAATATTCAAACTAGATAATCCATGATCCGAGTTCTATATGAGAAAATAGGTTGTTAGACAATATAGGTTTCGATCTAGAGGGGGTGAGTAGATCATAAATTTAAAAGCAAAAACTCTTGGCAAAAATTTGTTTTCAAAAATATATGGCACAACGGAAAAAATCCTAATCGAACCGTCTAACCGAACCTAATAACGAAAAGCTCAGATATGCGTAATGAAAACTGATGGAACGATAATGAGTACAAATTGTTCAACAATGATTAATTCACGGATCAATCAAATACAAAGTGATAAAAATAATCACAGATAATTTATCGAACACTTTATGTGAGATTGATCACGTTTGGAAATTTTATTTATTTTGTTGATGTTAAAAGCCAATTACAAACAAAGTGATTGTGATTATATCGACAACAAAACTTTAAAAGATAGTTAAAAACAATTTCCAATCAAATTAATCTAAACAATAACAAAATTGATAATTGGAAATAACAATAATTAAAGAGAGATAAAGCGATAAAGAGACACAAAGATTTGTTTAGACAACTCCCCAATCGGCCTCGCTATGGGTATGTATGCCCTCAATCTGAAATCGTAATGAGATACTTGCAATCAACCTTATCTTTGTAAAAATGTTTATAAATATGTGAAGAACTCTAACCCCACAAACCATACGGTTTGTTGTTGATTCAACCACCTCCTAATCCATGATCAAAGCTTTATCAAGTTACCAATAATGCAGCTACAATACACTAATCATCCTGAGCACGGACTTGTTGAACCCAAGATTAACAAACATGATTCACCATCTCGCGCTACTCTTTTTAAGGAAACCACCTTGTCTCAAGGCCTTCACTAGGTCGAATCCGGCTTGACATGATCTTGTCCAAAACCTTCAAATTCCAATGATCTTGAAGGAAAACCCCACGTTGGTTTTCTTATTTGAAACATACAAAGATCCCAACCTAATATTCTTGGTTACACCAACCTAATTGGACGTTATCAACCCTAATCTAAATGGTCACCCAATCGAAAAATGATTATGTGTAGTTCAATTGTGTATGAATATAAGAGAGGTTGAAGATGATGGGGATTCTTTGTAATCTGGTTTCGTTCAGGTAATTCACTAGTACCTTGCTAGAAAAAGGGGCATGAATGAGTATAT